ATAAAATATAACAAAAATAAAATACTATGATATTTAAAATTTCTGGTATAAATATAATTATTTTAAGAAAGTTGAATTCTCGGCCTACAGCAATATATTTGATTTCCAAATATTCCTTTTTGTCCTTTTTTCTATTATAAGTGTTCTGTAAATTACTTTAATAGGAAAATTTGGCTTGTAATTTCAACTCTTTTCCCTATTTTTTCAACGTATCATTAGTGTAAGTCATGTCTTGGTCGTGATGCTATCTTGCAAAATCCAAATAATATTTTCTAATGACCGTTTACCAACTACAAGAGTTCTCATAATCTCGGCATATAGTTTTACGATTTTGCTGTGAAGTCAACAGTTGACTCCATAGTGGAACAATATTCTATATACAATAAATAAACTAACTATATTAATAAAATTATATTAATGTTATTTAAATAATCAGAGAATATAGTAGATTTACTTGTTGTATATAAAATGTTGACTCTATAACAAAACCGTACAACTTTATCAAACATACATACATATCTTACTGTGTGAGTTGGAATTTAAAAAAAAAAAAAAAAAAAAAAATCCCACATCGAAAAACATAGGTAATATGCTTTCATCTAACGATCAAAAAAACTGCCCACACTGTATTCCATTTCCCACAAACAAATGATGATGATAAAAACCTGAATACCAACTACAAGAGTTTACCCATAAAGCAACAAAATCAATCAGCAACTATTATGCCACCATAGGTTTTAACTCCAATGCCAAAACAAAATTCATATCCTGCTGAAAAACAAAAATGCCTCAATTCACCACTACTTTAACATTTTTCTGAATTCACAACCTTAACAGCAAACAATCTCACAACAGATGGACCAGAGAAAAACTAATAACCCAAGATTTAAAAAGACCACGAAGCCGAACGCTTCAAAACGGGCTTCAGTTGCTTATCCTCCTCGATGGCAATCATGCCCAAGTGAGAAGGGTCCTCGATCAACATCTTAGCCACCAGATAGCCCGCAATCGACCAGGTCTGGTTTTTCCGAGCCTGCTTCCCGATAAACCGGCCGAGCTTTCCATCGTAATATTCGGGCCAACCGTCTTTCGACAGACGTGTCTCAGCAAGTTCGATCGCACGTCTCGCGATCTGGGGTCGCCCGGTCTTGATGCATGCAGCTGTCAGGAGCCATAAAAGTACTGTTTTGCACAAATGATTAATTAGCAAAGATATTTCTTTAATTGTAAAAGGGGGTTAATAAAATTGTGTTCTAAACATGCAACTTCTAGTTATCGAAACTTTGTTTTTGCCAGCTGTCGTGTTTCGTGAAAATAAATTAGCAATCGAATCAACTGGCACTAGTTGATTGCACCATTTATGAGAATTGTGGAACCAGAAATGCACAGAACTTAAAAACTTATGGGGCCAATAATTGTGACCCGCATACTTACATAATCAAAACTGCAAGTAAGACTCGATAAAATCATCATTGAGGTTCAATACAAGTACTTAAACCCCCATCTATCTTCCAGAATTACGAACTGATATTCTTCTCTAACTTCATTGCACCCTCGCGAGTTAAGAGGAGACTATTCGCAACAAACACATGGCACATGTTAAAAACTTTAAAAACCAGAGTAAACCTCAGGGGCAACATCCAAATTGCCAGTGACTAAAGAAAATTTTACACATCCATCGGACATCAACTTGAGAATTTTAGGATCAAAATAATTAACTTGAGATTTAAGATAATATCGCTAGGATACTTATAGCTAAATCTAAAGCTCACAAGACAAAATGCCACCTCACATTCTAGGGAATAAATGTAGCAACCTATCCCTATGAAAAAACACCATTTAGGTTCAACCAATATCCGAACAACCCATTACCCATCCCCCCTCTGCTAAATATTATAAAACACCCCCCTTCATATTTGTTTCTATTATAAATTCCACACCACGGCACAAGGATATAACCTAACAAATACAAACTTCAACAAGCTGCACGTGTTGGAAAGATAATCAGAGCAACCTTTCATGGCAGCATTATATTTCCAAACCAATCGAAAAACTATATATATATATATATTAAAACTATATATATATTAAAAACAATAAAAAAATAAAACAATTTTTACCTGGCCAAGAACCACCATTATGATAGCTCCACCTCGTGTTCTTGGGGTCACAGCCAGTCACGATCCGCCACTCATGATTCTCAATGGCTGGATAACAGACCTTGAGCGGCATATCCCCCACCAGCTCCTCCCACCTCGACTCTATCAGGTCCATGATCGCCATTGACTGCTCGTGCGTTGCCAGGGACGAGAGGATCGCGACACAGTTCCCCAGGCAGAACCAACGGAAGTCCATCTTTGAGGGGCCCACATTCCCGATGAAGTAGCCCCCATGCAAGGGCATGAAGTCGAAGATCCACTCTGGGAGGGAGTCAGGCATGACGTTGAACTTGTTGACGGCGGTGTGGGAATATTCCTCTGTCTTGTAGCGGTAGATGCCGTTGAGCTGCTTGAAGTCAAGCCAGAAGTAGCTCCGCATGTGGTAGCTCAAGGCGTGTAGGCGTTTGACTATACCTTCAATGAGCTGCTTGCCCGGGGCATCGTGTTTTAGCAGGAGCATTGCACATCTTAAAGCCATGAAGAATAGTGCTTGTATCTCGATTGGATAACCATACACTCCCTGCATGCATATTGTACAGTAAGAAACTGCATGTGTATAATGATAAAAGTATTCCTAGTTGTACTAGTGTATGTATCAAATTTCACATAGTGACAAATACCAATGGTAATTTTATCGGGACTAAATATAAAATATATCCAAAATGTCAACCTCTTTTAAACATCAATGTGAGAAATATATCAATAATCTTCCAAATGAATCAATGTTCAATAAGAGTCCCATAAGTTGTGTGAGGCAAGCAGATTGTAGTTGTACAGGATCTCAGTGAAGTGACTTACAGAAGAGGCGAAGAACCCATCAGAAAGAACATTCATGAGGTCCAGACAGTGCCATAGATTCTTAATTCTTAAATTTCCCCAGGCCAAATAAAGAGGTTTATAAATTTCTAAAAGTAAAGGGAAACATAATATAACCACCATCACAGCATTTTAATGAAAAAAAAAAAAGGAAAAGAACTCACCATCCTACGATCAATCATACAGCACCCATCAGCACAAAGAAGCGTCGGGAATGTGTCAAACCCTTCCGAGAGGCATAAACTGAGTATCAGCCTCATGCCCTTTTGGCATTCAGGCATCTCGGCTAAAGAGGTGTCCCCGGTTGACTTTGTATACGCCCTTAGTAAAATAATCCACCAGAATCCGGAATCGACTGGTGCCACTCGACCTATTGCACTCTCGCCAAAATCGGCCAACAATGTCTCAGTATTTCTTACTGGGTCATGCAGCACCTTGAAACTGGCTGGCATAACACCTTCACCTAATTGGAACCTATCGACTTTCTTCTCCCACGACTGAAGGCGAAGGGTTTTTAAGAGAAAATTCTTCACAACTTCGGGTTCACCCTTCATTAGGAAAGCCAATGCACTAGGAACAAAATCCCTCACAAACACCTGCACCAGTAAAGCTTCAAAAACTACTGAACTATTCCAGTTGGTCATAATTGTTTTTAGATAAAAAGTTCTAAGTATTCTTTTTAGGACTCCTGAAAAGATATGGTGCGTTTATGCTCCTCACTAAATCTAAAAACACTTAAACCAGGAAAGACCCTGCCTGAAAGATAACATACTTGACAGTAATTGAATGCTCATTCAACTAGAATACAACATAATGGCATTAATTTAATAATTCCAATTTATTAACTCAGTCATAAAGGAGATTGTTAAATTTCGAGAATCGAATTCTAAGAGCAAGTGAATTACATTTTTCCACTGAATCTACTAGTTACTCAACACCTCCAATCTAGAAGACTAACAGCTAACTGAACACATAAAACACGCACTCCATTGTCTCAGCAAGGACTTAATATCCACAACAACAAATCACACTAATACAGAACGTAACACATTTGATTAGTACTTATAACTGGAAATTCGAGCCTTCACCTGATCATAGTTGAGTTTTTCATCCGAGTTATCCAGAGCAGCTATAGTCCCAACCGGTTGGCCACGGAAGTAAACTAACGACCTCTTTACACTATCCCAAGCCTCAGGCACCATGGGGTGAGTCTCATTTATCTGCTGCATGTATCCAAACTGTGAACTCGGGGTATTTAAACCGGATCTCTTGCTGGGTGAATACACACTGTCAAAATGGTCAAAGGATCGACAGAAGGAATCAGCCTTGGAAGGAGGATGAGATTGAGGAGACAGTCCCAGTGGCAAATCCGCGAAAGATCTTTCATCGCATGATTTCTGTTTCCCAAGGTTCAGATTTCTGGGCCGATTTGGTAATCTTGAGAAACTGTATTCTTCTAACTCATCCATGCTGTTAGACGAATCGGCGTTCTTGTTGTTACCGTTTTGTGACACATCTACTGCTAGTTTAGACATCTTTTTGGGATTCGTTTTAGAATGGAAATGTAACTAATTCGGTGAAAGTGAGCTTCTCAGCAATCTGCACTTTCCAATAGTCGA